TATTATTTGACTAGTTTAATTTGATTAATTAATAGGAATAGATTAATTTCATTTAAAATAAATTTGATCCGATTTTTTTTCGTATATTCAACTACCAAAAGTAGTAGAGAAGAAGAAAAGTAGAAGGAAGATTATAATGTATCTATCACAATATTTAAAAGAACTACTACAATAATTATTAGAAGAAAAACAAAAAGAAAAAAATACCCAAATACCTTCATCACCTTCTACTCAACTACAAAATAAATGAATATAATCTCTTACAAGAACACTACACAAACTACTTCTTGTATTCTAAACTAAACAAATTATCAAACTTATTAATTAATCAAACATAAAGAAAAAATAACCAAATTACCCCTTCACCTACTAATTAACTTCAAAATAAAATATAAAAACACTACTAAATTACTTCTGGTAGTCTACACTAAACATTATAATCAAACTTAATAAATTAATCTAATTTTACATTACAACTACAAAGAAACAAGAAAATGTTTTAAAACTACAAGAAATAAAACTTCGATACGTGCGACCAGTATAATAGATCAAGCGAACAAAGACTATAAAATACTTAAAACAAAAAAATGTTAAAATGTGCATTCAGAAAGAAAAAATATCTCGAAAATTATCTAAACAAACATTTTTTTTCTTATCAGTGAAAAACATCGACCTCGTCGGCCTTGCGTAATTTGTCGGGTATTTACAATGGTCGAATTGTATAATTACCAGCTTTTATAGCATATCTAATAGACAAAAAGTATCTGGTCGATTAGTAACCAATTGGCACAGTCCGAAAATTATCGATTTTTATTTTCTCTGTTTTTATTGGCCGCTTCAAAATTCAGAGTAACAAAAAATATTTTTCTCTAGTAAAAGACTGTGAAATACGCCCCGCCATCTGGTGCTTTACATCCATAAACGTCTTAGGTTGAGCTACTTTAAAAATTCATATACATGGCTATTAGTAAGAAGTTTCACTTCAGATATGCGCACATAGTGCACACACTATTTTTTTTTTAATGTTTTAGGTCAATTTTTAGTAAACGATGTCCAGAGATTAACCTAGCCAAAATTATTATCGATCGTCATTACCTGGTCACAACCTGGTCGTCTTTGATATGGTTTTTTTTCGATCATACGGTATTTCAAAGCAAATTTTCATTGCTATCGTGTTATTTTCAAGTTATCCACATAAACATTAATTAACTGGAGGATATATAGAGCTGTTAGAAATTTTATTTATTATATTATTTAGAAACCTGGCTTTATGCAGGTTTTTACGACTTCAGCTTTTACGGCTTCAAGGCGTGGCGTTTCGTTACATGGCAACATTATTCAATTTTATTTACGCGAAACAAAGATAATTATATCAAAAGTTTACAATACTTTTTATTAAAATATTTTCTAGGGATAAAATTAAATATTCTTACGATCTAATAATTATAATGATTCATTATAGATACACACAGGATGAGTTTTAAATAAGTGCAAATATTTTTAGTAGTGGTATATTTCGACCCCAGAAACACGTGTTGAGGTTTTTTCGCAAAAAAATATTTCTGAAAATTTGGCAGGTATTTCGAAAAAAACTTTGATTTTTTTTTTCATTTTTAATTAAAAATCATAATAATATCTTGATATGATGACAACAAAGGAAGTAGATTACGCTTAGAAAAAAAGTCCAGAAAAAATCCAATAGTTTCTCAAAATCTGAGCAAAAATAATTTTTTATTTAAATTTTCAAAATAATATAACTCGGTTATTTTGTACTTATTTGAAAAACCGTAAAGAGAAAATATGTTTCTTTTATCGTGATCTGCTAGCCCTAAATATATTTGCACTTATCTAAGACTCACCCTGTATACAGGGTGGTCCGAACTATATTCCGGAAACTTCGGCAGCGTATTCTGCAGATAAAAATAAGTAAAAAAGTTCGTATAAATATATGTCCTAAAGTGCCTAGTTTCGGAGATACAGGGTATAGAAGTTTCATTTTTATTTCGATTTTTTCCAAATATTTTATAAAGTAACATCAATATTTGGATGAAAATTGGTGTCTAAGAGTTTTTTGACATGAGAAATTTTATTTTGATGTCAATATGACTCTTAATTGTATAGAGTGCCATCCATAGAGAAAGTTAATAGTTTAGAGAGTGGTGAATCGCGTGGTAAAATGTTGGGAGATTGCGCTTTTAGCGCCCTCTACTTGGCTACAGGCACGAACTATGAAAGAGCGGGAGATTTAAATTATTATTATACTTATTATTTTTAAGGCAATTAAAACTAAGAGTGCCCTTAACCAAAAACAGTGATATAAATGGAGATACCTACTCAAATGTTATATTATCATGATACTAAAGGATATAAATACAGCATTTATAATCCTTTTACACCTTTTTATTCAAAGTCTTACACGCTAATATAAAATTTGACTATCTCCATTTATTTCACTATTTTTGGTTAAGGGCACTCTTAATTTTAATTTTCCTTTTTTATGGGAAAACGATTAAATGGGAAGAATTGAATGGGAATGGAAAGAATGACCAATTATTGTATTTTGTATTAATTTATAATACCCCTATTCTACTAAATATCTAGCTACATTGTACTTACAGTTAAATAGCTACATTGTACTAGTTATATACATATTTACAGTTTTATGATGGCTATTATTTCTTTTCATCGTGCTATCAATTGATTCGCTCCGACTTGAGTACTATACCTCGAGATGGCTCAAGGAATTATTTACCTTTACAGGCCTAGAATATGAAGATTCACAGTAGAATTTTTGGTTTTACTGCCTATTAGAAACAAACCTACCCCCCTACATCAAGGGACTTGTTCTCGGCCATGATATTCCTTCCATTCTATATCCAACATCCAACTTAGCAGACCTTCTGGTTCACAACAGGGCCTAGACTGGTCGGATGATATTTTAACAGAATAGCCCTTGATATCTCTTTCACACTTTCATTTAATAATTAAATAGGAGGGCTGGATGGTATAATTTCTAGAAAGAATAGCCAGTGAAATAAAACTTAGGCATGGACATTACCTTTCTTACCTTTGTCTGCTATTTTTTAATAAAAACAACTGTTTAGTTTGCAGAAAAATAAAATTAACAATCAAAAATTTCTTAAAAAATGATCAAGCCTTGTACTACGCCGCGTGCCGCTTTTTGAACAAACAACAAACAAAAGAATGAGGTTAGAGGCGTTGCCAATGTCAATTTTCTAAACTACCCAAAAATCTAAATAAAATTCGCCAATTTGGGGAGAAAAATGTCCCGATTCACCAAAAATTCCCCATATGATTATTTTAACAAAAAAAAAATAATTTTAATAAAAATACAATATTTATTATATATATGTTAGAGAGATTAAACTGTAAATTACCTCCTTGTTTTTTAATCCCTTCCCTAGTAGTCATTAAATAATTTGAGGTCACTAAATTTTCTTTCAACTGAAGCATTTGCAAAGGGAAGCACAAGTAAAAAGCAGATTATAATTTTTAAGTTGGGAAAGATATATCGTCCCGCTCCGTTTTTAAAGCTAAAAATTTTACGCCATTTTCAATCAGCAATAAAATGTTGAAACTCCCCTTATTTTCGCCCCCTATTGCTAAAATCCCCACAAAACTCCCAATCGGCTCCGGATTCCCCAAAATTTGGGGAATTCCCCACAAATTGGCAAAGCTGGAGGTTAGCGTGTTCTTTCTGAATATGCTAAGACTAACGGACTAGTGTCGAAACACAGATAGCTAGATGGACGTATTTCGGCACTTGCGTCGATGCGCTACAGGTACATTTGCCTGCGCGTCGTATGTCTTCTGGCAGTCTTTTAATTTTTCTGTTTGTCTATGGTGCCATCTACCTATATTTTAACTGGTTTAAGGAGTAATAACTTTTCGTTCGTACCTGTATAAAACTACCGAGTAAAAAAATATACATTTACAACGTTTTTTACGAAAAAAAGTTTTCTTGGTAAAAATCGCTACGAGTAATGGATTTCGAGATATCTGGAAGAGAAATTATCAATACCTGTCATCATTGACATAAATTAAAACATGTTGACTAAATAGTTATTAGACTCAAATCATAAATTCGAAATGTTTTTGTGCCAAATGTTCAACAGAACTGTTTTATCATCATTTTTTGCAGAAAAAAATATGATTAATTTAAAAAAATAAAAAATTTCCAAATTTATTTTTTCAGTGAAATAACTATCTACTCAACGTGTTTATTTTTCGTCAATAATGACATGTATTTCCTATTTCCATTCTAAATATCTTAAGAACGGTTGCTCATAGCGATTTTTACAAAGAGATATTTGTTATGTAAAAAATCACAGAGATGTATATATTTCGGTCTGTAGTTTCATACAGGTACATCAAAATCAAATTTCTCATGTCAAAAAACTTCCAGACACCAATTTTCATCCAAATATTAACGTTATTTCAGAGATTATTTAAAAAAAATCGAAATAAAAATGAAGCTCCTACACTCTGTATCTCTGAAACTAAGCATTTTAGGACATACATTTATAAGAACTTTTTTACTTATTTTTATCTGCAGAATATACTGCCGAAGTTTCCGGAATACAGTTCGTACCACCCTGTATAAACAAACAACTGAAAAAGTAAAAATATTTCTATCTAAAGATTATATTTTTGTTGTGCATAGTTTTTAGGATATGTTATTGAGAGTCATTACACACAATTCTACTAACAAAAGTAAACAAACGAAACTGTTGAACCCGCGTATGTCAAGGACACAATAACAACTACTGTTAATTACAGTAAAATATTTTTACATCAAATCATGTTCTACGAAAATTTAGCACACTGGCTCCTCTCAAATTAGTAAAGTGGTAATTCCGCACGGCAGAGTGGTTCCCCTTTTGCTTAAGACTGCATGTGTTTTTGATATGCATATATTAGCGGTAAAAATAAATCCCCTTCAAGTTCTATTATACACTTGCAATATATAAACGTTGGACAAATGCAAAGATGCATTCACAGTTGCGCAGTTCTTCTGTCAAGTTAACTTGTACCAGACACATATTTAAAAAAATTATATCAAAATGGTTAAACTCGCGTTCTTGGTCTTGTTAATTGTATTTTCGATTGGAGTTTATTGTGCCCCGATGGATGAAGATTTTCAGGATCAACTAATTGAAGGTATGTAAATACAAGTTATTACCAAATAAATTTTTAGGTTATTAAGCCGGTAAAAAAAAAGCAACGGAGAAATTTTTGGTCAAATTTAGAGTGTTATATTTTTGTTATTTTTAGCCCTATTTTCATGATTTTTTTAGCAAGCTATATATAATTATATCAACTCTAATTCGTAAACTCAGTTTTTTATAATCTTTAATATTTGCCATATTATACAGGGTTAATCGAGGGGTTGGTTTTTTACCTTAAATTTAAAACACCCTGTGCAATAATTTCGTGTGTAAATTTTCCTAAAATATAATTTTACGGTCAGAACCATGTCTCCTGAGTATTTTACTTTTTGATTCATGTCAACACATGCTTTGGTTAATTTTTAAGAGCGAAATGAACTGATCACGATCAATTTGCAATTTTTCAATTATCGTTACTTTTTGATATAATTTTTTAATATGACGGGATGGTTTTGGTGACTACTGTCGTAACGTCATATTACGCTGCATTGGATAGTCTATACTAAATTAAAAAATACGTTAAAACCCAACGATACAGTCCGGGTTTTAAATAAACATTAATAACGATAACAGAACTAACGATATTAAAGAAAAAATCTGTAATAAATAACGGCTTGTATACATCCGTTCATACTGTCGTTGAGGCTACATATATATCATATTGCTTTATGTTTTCCTATTCTTCTTTAGGACCAAGTGAAGTTCATTTAATAAAGCTGGTAACGCTTCGCGACCTCTAATAACCCCTTTGGCAAGCATTTCCCATACGTCGAATATGATGGGTAGTTCATAGTAGTGCATAGTTCACAATAATCACCAAAGCCGCCTTGTCATATTGAAAAATAACTTCAAAAAGAAATGATAATTGAAAAAAATTGCAAATTGTTGGTGGCAAGTTCATTTCGCTCTTAAAAATTAACCAACGTATGTATTGACATGATCCAAAAAACAAAATGCTCAGGAGACATGGTTCTGACCGCAAAATTATAATTTAGGAAAATTGACACGCGAAATTATTGCACAGGGTGTTTTAAAGTTAGGGTAAAAGAACAACTCCTCGAGTAACCCTGTATAATATGTCAAATACTTAGTTTATAAAAAAACTGAGTATACGAATTAAAGTTGATATAATTATATACAGCTTGCTAAAAAAATCATAAAAATATGGCTAAAAATAACAAAAATATAACACTTTAAATTTGACCAAAATTTTCTCTGTTACGTTTTTTTGCATCTGAGTGTATATTGCCTTTTAATGAAAATATTATAGGAAACAAAAATAAATTAATTATAAATATATAAACAGTTATTATTTGCATCAACAAAACTCACCTTTTTAACAAAACTTAAGGGACATAAAGGGCAATTACTACCACTGTCCCGTTCAAAATATTCTAATAAAGTTGCGATGAGTACTTTACGACTATTAAGCTATCTTGTACAACTTAACAAGTATAGCCAGAGACGTGAGAAATATAAAATAAGAGACACCCCGCGATGCGCAGTGGACAGCCCGCAAATTTGCTTTAATCAGATTTGTCGTATGTATATATAAATGAATGCGGCAACTTGACATTTTTTATAGCAGGGCTACCACCTGAATCCACAGCGCGAAATTTAAATTCCAGTTAGTCAGCCCGGCGCCGAATATGTCCATGGTGGGCAACAACGAATTTAAAAATCGCGCCCTCGATTCCGTAACTAAAAGTTTAATTGATATCAAATATATTATATGTATTTAAATGTCAACACATGCTTTTTATTACATGTCAACACATGCTTTGGTTAATTTTTAAGAGCGAAATGAACTGATCACGATCAATTTGCAATTTTTCAATTATCGTTACTTTTTGATGTAATTTTTTAATATGACGGGATGGTTTTGGTGACTACTGTCGTAACGTCATATTACGCTGCATTGGATAGTCTATACTAAATTAAAAAATACGTTAAAACCCAACGATACAGTCCGGGTTTTAATAAACATTAATAACGATAACAGAACTAACGATATTAAAGAAAAAATCTGTAATAAATAACGGCTTGTATACATCCGTTCATACTGTCGTTGAGGCTACATAGGTATATATCATATTGCTTTATGTTTTCCTATTCTTCTTTAGGACCAAGTGAAGTTCATTTAATAAAGCTGGTAACGCTTCGCGACCTCTAATAACCCCTTTGGCAAGCATTTCCCATACGTCGAACATGATGGGTAGTTCATAGTAGTGCATAGTTCACAATAATCACCAAAGCCGCCTTGTCATATTGAAAAATAACTTCAAAAAGAAATGATAATTGAAAAAAATTGCAAATTGTTGGTGGCAAGTTCATTTCGCTCTTAAAAATTAACCAAAGTATGTATTGACATGATCCAAAAAACAAAATGCTCAGGAGACATGGTTCTGACCGCAAAATTATAATTTAGGAAAATTGACACGCGAAATTATTGCACAGGGTGTTTTAAAGTTAGGGTAAAAGAACAACTCCTCGAGTAACCCTGTATAATATGCCAAATACTTAGTTTATAAAAAAACTGAGTATACGAATTAAAGTTGATATAATTATATACAGCTTGCTAAAAAAATCATAAAAATATGGCTAAAAATAACAAAAATATAACACTTTAAATTTGACCAAAATTTTCTATGTTACGTTTTTTTGCATCTGAGTGTATATTGCCTTTTAATGAAAATATTATAGGAAACAAAAATAAATTAATTATAGATATATAAACAGTTATTATTTGCATCAACAAAACTCACCTTTTTAACAGAACTTAAGGGACATAAAGGGCAATTACTACCACTGTCCCGTTCAAAATATTCTAATAAAGTTGCGATGAGTATTTTACGACTATTAAGCTATCTTGTACAACTTAACAAGTATAGCTAGAGACGTGAGAAATATAAAATAAGAGACGCCCCTCGATGCGCAGTGGACAGCCCGCAAATTTGCTTTAATCAGATTTGTCGTATGTATATATAAATGAATGCGGCAACTTGACATTTTTTAAAGCAGGGCTACCACCTGAATCCACAGCGCGAAATTTAAATTCCAGTTAGTCAGCCCGGCGCCGAATATATCCATGGTGGGCAACAACGAATTTAAAAATCGCGCCCTCGATTACGTAACTGGAAGTTTAATTAATATCAAATATATTATATGTATTTATTTTTTCATTCTTTGCTATTAAATTGTGATAAAAATCATATTGAAAACTTTAAAGACCATTCTAAATTTTATAATTTAAAAATATTATTCGCCGGGCAACATTTGTTTTGATTATTTATTCAATGAATATTTATTTATCCTAATTTAACTCGCAACGTGAGTATTAACGCCGCAATTACAATTTAAATTTATTATAATTATTGTTGTTATGCTTCTGTGTAATTTATTCGTATCCGCCCCTCCTAGTAATTGGGATATTAATGCAAATAAATACCGTACGATGAAAAAAAAACGGCGTCAAAGAGGGCTGGGAAATTACAATCGGTGATAATTTTAGCGAGGTTAAGCTCGATAGACGTTATTTCCAAAACTGACATAAGACTTCTTAAGGAAAACTAGGTAATAAGCACAAAAAAGAGCACTATTATCATCGATCTCGCCAAAATTATCATTGATTGTCATTTCCCAGCCCTCTATGACACCGTCTTTTTTCATCGTATGGTACTACAACAATACCGGTACCTTCAAAATAAATAAATTTATTTAAATACTATTTTTTAAGGTTTCTTCACTTTTAAAAATTAATTAGGATTGTGTAATGCATTAATTTTTGAATCTATCTATGTTATATTATTAATTACATATAATAAATACCTTCACATATATACAGGGTCCTGCAATAATACGTCGGGCATCTGTAGCTGCTATAAAAAGAACCTTGTTTTAAGTACACATACACTATGTATACTAGGATGTGTTTCAGGAAAATATTGGACATTACTGCATTTTTGGTTTCCTTTCCGGTCACTATACATAACCCTAAAATATTATTAAGTATTTATGTTTTGATAGTTTCAAAAATATTAATGAATAAATAAAAAAATCTGTAAGTACCCCAGAAGGAAACTATGTTAAGTCCCAAAACATAGTTTTGAGAAAACCGAATTTAAAGTTCTTTTTAGAAGTTATTTCCTAATTACTCGGCTATTTTTAAACCTATGATTGTAATATTTGATTTATATTAAGTCCCTATTTATGCCAAAACGAATAAAGCTAAACCATTTTAAGTCCAAATAAAAATATATTAATGATATAATAAGAAACCCTTTAACAGAAAATTGTAAAACAGTATGTTGCAATTTGGAACTAATTTACTATCTTTATTAAGTTTAAATTAGCTACCCTATATAATATCAAAACAGTCAAAATCAATTTTCGTCACTGTGTGTAGACCTGTGAACATAACATACTAAACTCACCCAAAGATGTTCGAGCCAAACTGCATTTACGTGACATAAACTCATTTAGCAGACGGCTCACATCGGTCATAATCTTAGATCATTGTGTTTGAAAGTATTTCAGAAGTTTTAAAGTACCGTATGATCGAATAAAAACGGCGTCAGCGATGACAATGAAATGAAGATTGCTGTCATTTTATATGGAAAAGGTCATCGATCGTCATTTCCAAGCCAACTGGACGCCGCTTTTTTTCGATCATACGGTACTATAAATATAACACATGACATTTTTAACAGTATTTTTTTTTCAAAGCCACCTAATGATATTTATCTAATATTTTACCATTAAAAGAGCTATATGCCATAATTGCGCGAATATCTGCGAAACCATTAAAATTTCTAAAATTCTTTAAATAACAAAAAATTTTCAGTTTTTTAATTCCCCCCTATCTAAAAAAATATAATATATAAGGTATTCTATTTTCCAAACCTAAACAAATTAACATTCACGAACCAGTCTAATTGACTTTGGAAAAAATTTGCATGATATATTTTTAAATACCTGATTAAGAGTTTCATTTCTTATTTCCAGGACCTGTACGTGTGAAAAGGGCAACTTGCGACCTTCTGAGCTTTGAAATAAAAGGATTTAAATTGAACGATTCAGCTTGTGCAGCCCACTGTCTCACCCTAGGAAAGCGAGGAGGTCACTGCAATGGCAGCAAAGTTTGCGTTTGCCGCAAATAGAGTTATGTCCAGTCGTTATTTATTTCATACTCCTTACGGGTGATATTTTACTGTGTTACTTTCTTATAAATAAATAATAATTATAAATAAATTAATTAAAAAAAAATGTTTCTTTTATTGTTAGTACTAAATTTTTTTCAAAAATTATACTCACACATATCAGGAACGTCTCAGTTCCATTTGTTTCGTGTTCATTTTATCATTAGATTATTTTCCTCATTTTGACAGTAAATTAATCCTAAAAAATAGTAATAACATATTTTCTTTCTAGTCCAGTTATTTTTGATTAACTCACTAAACAAAACTATCTATACTCTGTTTTTTTTCTCAGGTAAGATTTCGACAGACGATGACAGAAAATAAAACAGATGACTTCCATACCAATCCATTTATTTCACTAAAAAAAGTTTCTAATATTTTTTTAAGTTAACTATGGATGGGTTTATAAGTAAATACGGCATGCGTCGTCTCTTGTTGTTTTTAACCAGTTTATTGGTTTATTTCAAAAACGACAGATCATGTTTCAATATTATTGGGTTGACGCAACGATAACGACAAACGGAATCCGATGCGTATGAACCCGACTTTTTTTTGAGAGTTGCCAAACCAAATCAAATTATAGGTTATAATTTTGTGTCAAATTATGTCAAATGTCAAATAGAATATTTTGCATTTTGCATCTTGGATTGTGTTGTTACTTGTGTTTCGTGTTTTTTTAAAATTTAGTGGAGGAAAAGTCGAGGGAAAATAAGTGTTGACCCAGACCATAGTTTACAGGTAATATTCAGTGCCCAGAGACCGCCAGAAACACAGTTTGCCAGACATTATGGCCAGAGAGTTGTATTAGCCACAAATAAAGTTGTATACCATCTCGTATATGGTACAAAAAACGGGAGTATTTGTAAAATAACATTACACGATAGGTAAATAATACATTTTAGTACTAGCAGAAAAAATTAAGATTAAAGTTAATTAACCAAGATTAGATTTTTTCAGTTTTATACAGTTTTTTTTTCGCAATATTTTGAAGTAATCACTTGTCACTCAAAATTTAAATATATTAATTATCCGTTTCAATTGTACCAACATATTTCCTTGTAAAATAAAATAAACTACTTTGAAATTAAAATCACAGACACATCTATCACTGTCAAGGATTTTGTCATTGGACAGACTATAGTTCTCAATGCTAATTTAACTTATCATGTATAGTTTCTTCAAGATAATATTTTGACTTGTTCGAGTAAAATTTCTTCTGTGCAGCTTTACAGTTTTCGGATATATCAAGCTGTTATATATATCGTTATATCTCATTAACTGGATTGGTTTGGTTTGGTTTGGTAGCGATTTGGTTTAACATGGTAAAACATCCACACTGTAAAAAGCGAAGCTACATGACCAGATTGAACGTACGGGGTCTAGAGAACAACGATACCGCCGACGCCCTCCGGGAAGCCATCAAAGAATCACTTCCACCGATAACTTCAATCACAATCGTGGATGCTGAACATGGCTGGACACAACTAAGAGATGCGATTCACCAAACCAGCGAAGCAGTACTGGGAAAATCCAACTCCCGAAACAACATTTTATAGCTTCATAGTTTCTCAATGGTTGTTCACACCGATTTGATCAGAAGCAAAAATTGATTCAAGCAGTTCGACGGAACAAGTGACTAAACAAAGTGCTCGTTACATAATCAAAAAATTAAGACATAATATAGGTACTATGAGAGGATAAAAATATAACTTGCAATATTAATGGTATGCTCTTTTTTTAAAATAGCTAGTGTCACAGCTTAAGTAAAAACCAGCTCGGACAGTGTAGCGTGCCGCTTTAATCTTTTTACGCTCGGATTTGCGATTCGAAAGAGGGGGAACACTGGAGCGGCGAGCTCCCTCGCCAAAACCAATAGCCCCGTAAGCGCCAGTCAGCCCAGAGATGTATTCAAAAAAATTTTACACGTGACGTAAAATTATTCGACGTGCTAGAACATAATTTAGATACACGTTTTTTAAATTGTTGACTTTAAATAAATATGCATTCTCAAAGAAAAACATTTAAAAAACAAATTAATTAATTTATTTCTAGAAATAACAGCAAAATGAAATAAGTACATTGATTACTTATAGTTATTTACGAATGTTTCTAAATTAGGAGCTTTCGGTTTTTGTTTGCTACATTTAAGTTCTTAGTAATATTCTTTAAGGTATAATAATTTCTAACTTTTGCGTATAAATTTAACAAAAAATACATTATAGGAAAATTTTGATTGATGGTTGAATTTAATTGTCTGAAATAATTTAACGAATTTACATAATATATTTTCATTTAAGAAAAGTTCTTCAAAATTGTTCTGAAAAATTTTATAAAAAAACTTTTTTAAAAACAAGTTTTTATTTAAATACACTAAAAAGAATAAAATAAACTTTTTCTTTAGAACTTTTATTATGAACTTATAACGTCATTACACAATTTTAATATTATATAAAAGCTTGTCGCGAGATTTGAGTGTACATTTGCACTCATAAAAATCTGGTACGACAACTTTATCTTGTAATTCCTGGTCTAGTGGTCTATCATAACAGAAACTTTGAGAATGAGACAGGGTAGACACAGGTTTTAGTTAATTTACTTGTTTATCGATGTAGAGAAATCTCGCGACAAGCTTTTATATATCTAATATTAAAATTGTGTAATGACGTTCTAAGTTTATAATAAAAGTTTTAAAGAAAAAGAGTTTATTTTATTCTTTTTAGTGTATTTAAATAAAAGCTTGTTTTTAAAAAAGGTTTTTTTATAAAATTTATCATCTACTTTTTAGTTATGCTTGTTTCTCAGTGCCACACACTTAAACTCAATTTTTTTTTCTTAAATAACTTTCTATGGGTATCCTAATAATATGTATATCGATTTTCATTAAAAAAGGAGAACTTAAAAAAAACGACAGCTGTCAAATTTGACAGTTCAAATGTGAGACAAATAAAATGAAAACCGACTATGGGGTAGGGGGCATCCAATATATCGATTTTTATCAAAATCGGACAAATTTGAAATTATTTGACAGCTGTCACATTTGACAGCTCAACATTTTTTTCTTTCATTTTAGCCCACGGCCATCATCGATTTTTATCAAAATCGGACAACTTTGAAATTTTTTTGACAGCTGTCAAATTTGACAGCTCAAATTTTTTTTCTTTCATTTTAGCCATGGCCATCCCATATATCAATTTTTATGAAAATCGGTTGACTTTGAAATTTTGACTTGTCATTAAACTGTCATTTTTTCAAGATGGCCGCCCATATATTTTTTTTCATATGTATATACCCACAATATACCTATACAGGTTGTTAAATTGTTCATTACTCGCGGCAAGAGTTTTATGGTTGAAATAACCTCGGCCCGCTCGTCGATAGACGACGGGACGGGACGAGTCGGCAGAAAAATCAATAATGCATACGTTCTCAATAGGCAGTGTTGCCATTCTGTTTCCCTATAAGTAACTGTCGAGTTAACAACCTGTATATATATATATATATATATATATATATATATATATATATATATATATATATATATATATATATATATATATATATATATATATATATATATATATATATATATATATATATATATATATATATATATATATATATATATATATATATATATATATATATATATATATATATATATAATTTCAGCCCGATCCATTCATAAATAGAATTTTAAAAAATCAAAAACCTCAAAAATGCCGCCATTTTGACAGCTGTCAAAAATTCGGGTCATGCCTTGCAAAAAAATGTATTGTCATCGGGACTGAACCTACATGCCAAATTTCAATCTCCTACAATAAAAGGAAGTGGTTTTAATTTAGCTTACAAGATTTGCCCCGAACAAACATACATACATACATAGATAGTTACATATATAGCAAGTTAAATAAAAGCTTTTAAAAATAGCCTCCAATGAGGAAACGAAATAAAAAAATGGTCACTTGGCATTAGCAAGCCTCCAAATAAGTAGTCTTCATCGTTTTGAAAAGCTCTAAAGTGTGAATATACTTTTGAATTGAACATTAATTTTGAATTGAATTGAAAATTAAACAGACTATATTTTGAATTATTTCCATAATTATTTGTGCAACCAGCAGCCGCACATCCCGAAAAACCTTTTCCCATTCCATCAATAAAAATAAAATTGAAATAAAAGCACAAATACCTATGGTTAAATATTAGAAAAAAAATCGAATTAATATCTTCCGTAATACGGCCCTACGCGCCACCGGTGGAGGCTATGCATCGACTGAATGAGGCTGACTGTCGGTCGCTTAATTCATTTAGCACATCGTCGGAGTGAGACGTTTTAAATTCGAGCGTGGGAAAAATTGGCGAGTGTCAAAGCTATGTTATTCTGTAAGCTGTGCTAGTGTTTTAAAATTCTTGCATTTTTTTACAATATTTAATAGTTTAATGTGTAAACGATGCAGGTAAAACTACAACATAAAGTTAGGCATTAGTGTTTTAAATATTGAAGTACGTGTACTCTATATCTTTTCCATGCAGATAGAAAACTATTAAACTATTGATTTCTAAGTGACTTTTAACGTAAAATTAATTGAAACATTTTTTTTTCTATATTAGAAATAGGTATTTAAATTTTTTCCTAGCCATCCTTCTGTGCATTTTGTAGCATTAACAAAAAATTCTACTACATTAACAAGTACCATTTTAAATATTAATAATATTCCACGGATATACTGATAAATGAGGTCTAAATTATCAAGCAATACAATTTGATAGATAAACTTAAATTGTTTATCTCATTCTTCATTCTCGTAAAATATACAGGGCGTCTGTCAGAGCGTTAAGTCTTTATTCCGAAATAGAAAAAAACTTAAGTCATCAAAAAAAACAAAAAAGCTCTCAAATATTACCATTAGGTGCTATAATAATATTATATAATATATTATATTATAATTATAATTATAATATAATAACTATTACACTTTAGATTAATAAAATGTGAGTTTTATGCGGACGAAGTCGCGGGAAAAATCTAGTAGATTTTAT